GCCCCCCTGTTTATCACCACGCATTATTCCTTATTTTGTTGTTATTCACCAATTATTTAACAGTTGTCATTAACTGTCGCTCATTAATCATCGCCGGTTATGGAGTGGAGTGGTTTATTTGTTGGATATCGAGCGATTTGTTGTTATCCGCGGTTAGCGTTGGCGACGCTGCTTTGTGGTTTTTCCCTCTCGCCGACCAAACTCGTCGAGAAGCCCGAGCTTTTATTTTATTTCAAAGTTTAATCAATTTAATCAATTTTGATTTATTTTTCACTTGCCAAATTCAAATTCAAAAGCCCAAGCTCTTTGGAAAATATAGCTTTATTTTACTTTTGCCAGCCAAATTAAAATCCTTATTTTTTCCCCCCCTCCATCAAACTCCAATTAAAAGCTCAGACTCCTTTTTTTTTCCTCCTTTCATTGACCAAGTTCAAATTAAAACCTTCAAAAACTTCCTCTTCTCCCAACCAAACCCAAACTAAAAAGCCTAATCTCTGGGTTTTTCTCTTTTTATTGACCAAACTTGATTCAAAAAGCAGAAAGTCTATATAGTCTTTACTCATGAAAGTCCTTATTATTGCTTTTTTTACGTATATATTGTTTTACATATACATTCTTTTCACGTCTCCCTTTAGCCTCCTATAACGCCTCTTTTCCTCCTTAAATCTCCTTGGGCAACCCTTTGGATATTGTTCGGGAGCTTGTTACGCTTACTCTTCATATTTTTATATTACTATATTTACGTTTTATTATTTATTTTTCCCCGCGTTTTCCCGCTGGGACGCGGTTTCCTGCTGCCAACCCCTTGTTTTTCCCTGCTCCCCACGCAGGATGGCGACGTGCACAGACACCTCTACCTCCAGGACGTCCTCACCAGCGTTAACGAGGTGCCAGAAAGACCCAAGTAAGCCAAAATCAGACGTTCRCAACACCTAAACATTAAAAACCATTAGGAGTGGCGTGAATCCTCCTTCCCGGGGAGCGGATCCCATCGCGGAGCCGCTGTGTGTTTGGGTGCTGTTTCCTCCCATGGAGATCCCAGGCTGGGATTTTCGCTGATGGGTTTTTTCCTGCTTGAAGAGGGAGAAAACGGGAAGCGCTGCCAGAGCTTTAACCTGAATCCCATGATCTTCATCACCCATGATCTTCACCACCCATTTAGTTTATTCTTGCTGCACGCGAGGAATCGCGAGGAWTCCTCGCGATTCCTCGCGTGCAGCAAGAATAAACTAAATGGGTGGTGAAGTCGGTGATGAAGCCGCCTAAAAGGGGGGTTGTTCAACGCGACTGCAAAGAAGGTGGTGCGAGGGTCTCGCCCGCAGGGTGTCCGAGTTCAGCTGCCACCTGCCCGGCTGCTGCCAGCTCTTCGACACGCTTGAGGGCTACGAGCACCACTACAACGCGCTGCACCGCAACGCCTGCGCCTGCTGCAAGCGCTCCTTCCCCTCCGCGCACCTCCTGGACATCCACGTCCTGGAGTGGCACGACTCGCTCTTCCAGGTCCTGGCCGAGAAGCACAACATGGTGAGGATCCGTAAGGTTGGAAAGGACCTTTAGGGAGCATCCAGTCCAGCCGTGCRTGCGCAGGGTCACACAGAGCAGGTGGCACAGGGCTGCATCCAAGCGGGTTTGGAAGGTCTCCAGAGAAGGAGAGTCCACAGCCTGTGCCAGGGCACCTTCACTGYCARGAATTTTTTCCCTAAGTTTCTGTTAGTTTCGTTAACCTTCTAGTTTGCTAAAAGGTTGTGAGGGAGAGCACTCAATTCTCTCTCTTTTTTTTTTTTTTTTCGCTCCTCATTTCTCTTATTTTGTATTCTCTCTCCTTACTTTTGTCCTGCTTCTCAGTACAAATGTTTAGTGGAAGGCTGCGCGGAGAAGTTCAAGAGCAGCCAGGACAGAAAGGAGCACCTGGTCAGCACTCACCTGTACCCTGCCGACTTCCGATTCGATAAGCCCAAAAAAACCAAAAGGTGAGCGCGGAGCTGCTGCTTTTCTCTGCACCTCCGTAGGGATCCTGTACTCATCTTCCCTTTGGCCTTGGCAGAACCCTCTCCAGAGGCTTCTGGCTGCCTCTAGCAGTCTGCACGGCTAAGTTTCTTTTCCTCCTGGCAGTATATCCCCGCCAAGCCTGATTTTGACTTTATTTTTGTTGCTTCCTGGTGAACTGCTTTTCATCTTCCTCGCTCTGAGCTCCTTTGGCAGCTCCAGAGAGAGGGTGTAAAACTTTGTCCCCGCAGCGGCACCAAGCACGAGAGAGCTGCTGTGAAGCAGGACGCGGGCGTGCCGATGGACGTGAGCGTGGAGGCTTCGGAGCAGCATCGAGGAGATTCCATGGAAACGGGCCCTGGGGAGGCCATGGAGGTCCCTGTGCCCAACCCGCTCCCTGAGAAACGATTCTATAAATCCAGGTTTGTGCCGTGCACCCTCACAGGCAAAAACTGTCACCAGCAGGTTTCCCCCAGATGTTTGGAATCYATTTTTATGTGTGAGGGAACTGAGGCTGGAGAACTAAGGGATAATTTGAATAGTGAGGAAAAATTACCAGCAGGTCTCCTTCCTCACAGTTGTCTGCAGGYGCTTTTCCTCTGCTGCTGCACACAAAGACGGACCTCAAAACAGGGCCTTAAAGCGTGTCTCTTCTTCCAGGATCCCCTCCACGATTTGCTTTGGACAGGGAGCCACCCGAGGGTTTAAAGGCCCCAAGAAAAAAGCCTGAAGGTCAGCGCAGCGCATGGGCGTGAGGCAGGAGGAAAACACTCGTCGTGGCCAGCGGGAGCTAGCGACAACACTGCGGACAAGCTGGAAAATTGTACTCCGAAAAGCGAGGAGGGGAGAATTGCGCCGAGGCGGCGGTTTGGGTTAGCCAGGTGTTTTGGGAGCTGCTTGGCTGTGGTCCCTTGGTGCCTCAGCGGGATCTGCAGGCAGAGCCACGCTGTGTGTGCCTGTCCCGGCACGCGGGGCGCTCTTCGCTCGCCCKGAAACCAAGGCGCAAGTAGATTTGCCTGCCTGAACTCACGCTGTGGGTTTTTGTGTCTTTTCGCTGTCCGCTCCGGACGGCGGCGGCTCAGAGTCGAAATCAGATGGTTCCTGAGCAAGGCGATAAATAAAAAGAGCTGAAAACTAAGTTGTTTTGCAGGCTGCTTAAATGAGGTTAAAAGGACAGGGTGGTTTCACACACACGCACGCTGTGCCCTGACCAGCCCACCTTGTGTCCCAAACACCCTCCCAGGACAGGTATTGGGGGGGGATAGTTTGTCCCTTTTCCTGTTCAGACCGGTCCCCCTAGAGCCAGAGCATTCTGCAGCTGCTCCTTGAAATCCCATCAAAGGCAACACTTAAAAACTCATCCGATAGAGAAGGGAATCGGGAGAAGGGAACGCAGACGGATGCGGAAGATGGACAGTGGTCAGGAGCTGATGGGAGAAGTTTCAGCTCCGTTCTTGCTTCCGTGGGGCCTTGGGGCTCTCTCCTTGGCGTGGGCYGGCCCTGTGCAGCCCTGATTCTCCACGTCCTCTCCAGGTGCTCCGGCTAGTACATATAACAGATATACGTACCATATAGCGAGGCTGGAATCACACACGTATCCCTTTCAAGTATTGCCAGCTCCCTTTCCTCTTGCTGAACAAGGTCTCCAAAGTGAACATCAGCTTGCCGATCTCTGGGCAGCAGTGGGTCCTGATGGGTTCCGTGTGAGGCTCCCTCATCCCCGCGGSCTTGCAGGTCTCGGTGCAATAGCCAAAACACAGCAGCGAATCGCAAGCCCTCGGCACGCAGCTTGCAGCAGCTTTCCATTCCACGTGTCTCTGTCTAATTCACGGCCTTTGTGTACAGCAAAAATCTCAAGAACTGGGATTTCCCCGAGCTTGGCGATTCACTAACRTTTTCTCGCTTTTTCTTTTCTTAAATGAGAATAAAAGGGTCCATGAGCTCCACCAGCTCAGCTCTGCGGATTTTGGGGCCTCTTAATTCRTAACATGTAACAGGTTCGGGTTGAAAAATATAGTTCCTACTTTGCATCCCCTGAGACGATTATCTCCCTTCACCCACATGCAGCACAGGACAGCCTTTTAAATGCATTTATTTTACCAAGCACCTAAACCCCTGCTTTTCRCCACTAGTAACAATCAGTAACAGTCTGAGGAGCAGTCTGCAGGATGGGGAGTCGCAGTCCTTGGCAGCACAAATATTATCCTGCCCTGTGAGGACCTGCAGATACCTTTCATAGGAATCCTAATCCCAAATGCTAGATCTTGGCATTGAGGGGCAGAATTGGTTTTTTTTTTTTTTACAGGAGAAATCCGTTTTGTTGCTCTCTGAGACATCAAAACCAGATCTTAAAAACTGTTAAGGAGGAGAAAAAGTAAAGAAGCAAACCACTTTGAATGAGAGAAAAAAAAACAAAAAAGAGCCCCAAATTGTTCATATAAATGGGAGATGAGGGTCAGTACTCAGACATACTCAGGAGTATCCAGCTGCATGTAGGACTTGGCTAACCACATGGGCAGGTCATGTCTCCACAGCTGAAGCTGTGCAGAGCCCTGGTGCAAAACCTGTCCCCAGGCCACTTCTTGGTTGTCTTTGGGGGTTGTGTTGGTAACCAAGCRCATGACAGCCTGCAATCACACCGGTACGCGTGGAAGGACTGTGCTGGGTGCCTCTGCAGCAGAAAGCTTGTGTTCCAGCAAAAGGATGGAAGCAACTGGGTGCTATTCCTCTTCCTGTTGTCCTGGCAGAGAGAAAACAAGAGCCACGAAGCCGAAAGTGTGGTCCTATGGACAATATGCAGAAAACCTGCTGAGATGTAGAGAAGGTGAATTAAGCAAAATGCTGAAGCAGGAGATCCCACGATGATCATCACGGCCTCATGATTTGGCCACTGCCGTGGCTTTCCTTTTGTAACTTGAGCCTTCTGCAGCTTGGTCTTGGAATAAAACCCCACCAGTCCTGGCATACAAGGTACTGAAACTAGAGTCTGGCTGCACTGCAAGCCTCCAGATGCYTCATGAGTGATGCCCGGCTTGGTGGACACGCAGGCAGGTGACCCAGGCAGCACGTTCTCATCTTCCGTATCATGGAGCCAGTACCCAAGAGCAGAGCATGAGTTTGGGGAGAAGGAGACCGGCTGTTCATGCTGCTAAGGAAGGCTGTGAACGGGCTCTTTCCACACGGTGCAGCAGACCTTGGGCCAGTCCCTTCGCCTCCTGAGCCATGGTCAGTGCMTGCAGGACGGTGATCCCCGGCCCGTGCCCTGGTCCCGGGGTGCACGTGGAGTCTCACACATCACAGGCCATGAATCACAGGGCTTCTAACTGCGCGTTGCCCGTCCCCATCGCAAGAAGGAACTTGGCCTGTGATGGCCTAAATACTTGGCTCTAACACAGATTCCGGTATTCAGTGACAAGAGCTATGGATGAACCAGGGAAGATGAGGCCAGGCAAATCCTGGGCATGTCTCCTACCTCTGACACAGCAAGGAAAGGCTGGACATGGTAAATGGATCAGAAGGATCTGGTGGAAAGGCCACGACCAGCTTCTTAGAGACCCTTCCTGCCTAACCAGTCCAGCTGGTCTCTGGCTTCTGGAATCGCAGCCTGCAATCTCAGCAATATCGGCGGAGGGGACACRAGTCTGCATCTCCACCATAGAGGCCAGCACTGCTCCCCGGTGAGCCTAGAGGAAGCAGGAGATTTGTGCTGGCCGGTGAGTTTTGCCCCTCTTCGCGAGGTTAATAAAATTTACCACATAAGTATGATGGGTTGCAGATGTCGCAGTCATTTCACAGTTGGCCGGGCCTGCCACCTCGCATGGGACACGAGTTGTCCATATTAGAGGTCACCTATYGTCCGAGGTGCAGGGTGACACAGTCACTAAACCCTTGGGGTTTTGATGGAGCAGGATGGATCGGGGACTCTTTCCCACAACAAGAGCCCACGTTTTCAGCTCTCCTTGGATCACTGTGGGCAGGCAAGGGAGGACCTGAACTACACCCATGTGCTGTCCCCGTGTCGCAGTGACCCATGGCTCACCATTACCCTTGGTCCAGGGTCACCAGTTTCTATGTCCTAGGATGCTCCCCGGTGAAAAATGTCAAAGTGATGGAGGATGGGGTACAGTAAAAGCCAGGAAGAGCAACAACTGAAGGGATTACTAAACCCTTCTCCGAGGGGGGATGAGAAGACTGCAGTTAGTTGCCACAGGAGAGATTCACAAGCCCCAGAAAAGCATTGTTTTCCAGCAGCCTTTCCTCCGCAAGCAATTCCTCTGCAAGTGGGGCTGGGTCAACGGGGACGCGGGTCAAGCGAACGCGCCCGGCAGAGAGACAAGCGAGCTGGGACAAGAGCACACATTTATTGTCGCTTACAGAAAAGCTGCCCATCCTCACGTTCATTTTGGCTCTCCAGAAAAACCCTGCCAGCGCTCACCTTGAGGATCACAGTTTCTCGAGAAACACACAACTGGGGGAAAGCACCATTGCTGAAACGTCGAGGGGCAAACACAAGGCCTAGCCAGGAGCGGGGAGCACGAGTGCAGGCCAGCTATAGCACACCCACGTCAAGGTTTCAAACAACAATAAATAAAAAGACAAGACCCTATCTAGAAGCCCTGGAAGTAAACAAAGTAATTTTTAGCTTTGCATCTTTCTTCTTCTGATCTTGGCCAACTAGCAGCTGCAAAACCCAAAAGAGAGCAACCAAAACTGAAGCCACGCTGTTGAGGAAGCAAGAGCCCTCGTGGTGCTCATAGCTGGAGGCGGCTGTCACATGCAGACAGCCGTGGTGCTTGGCACGGGTGGGCCATGACCCGCTCCATTCGAATGGTCCGTGGAGAAGCTGAAAACCACGAGCGGCAGAGGGTTTTATGGCGTGATCCTGCCTGCTGGCAGCTACGGACACGGACAGGGAAAACGGAGACAATAACCATTGGGACAACATTGTTCCAACTGACGGGAGAAGGGTGGGGAACAAAGAGATCCCACAGGACACCATGAACGCTTCATTCCAGCCCYGTGCCCATTCAAGGCTGTCTTTTGCTTGCTTGGCTTTGGTAACAGGACTGGTGCTGACGGAGTTATGCTCCCCGGAGCAAGAGCTGGCACGTGCGCTGGACCCCTGCCCTACTCCTGCTGGCCTCCTGCCACTTCTTTGACATTCTCCACCTCCTTCAGGGAACCGACTGCTGGCATCCATGGGGATGGCTGATCTGGGGTACTCTTCTTGCCTTGGCTAAAGTGGTTGATGGCCATGTAGAGACTTCCCTGAGGTCCTGCCTCCTGCTCTGAGTAGTACATCTCGAGGACGGCTGGGCTGCAGTGCTTGTGCTGCGGAGCGGAAAAGAAAAGCAAGAGGAGACAACTAGGAAAAACCCAACTGCCCAGAGCCACCTTGTACCCAAGCAGCTCTGACACGAAGACTTGAGTACTTCAGGTGCTCTAGGATCCAGCTCAGCCTTTGTTTTCTCCCGTGATGGCTCAGGGAACATCTACTGCTCACCCCCACCCACCACATCCACCAGTGCTGTGCGGCAACCAGGCTGGCTGGCTCCCACCTCCAAGTCTCCAGTATCCATCCCCAAGCAAGCAAGGAAGTCTGCACCCCGACACCCAGCAAGGCTAGGGAAGATCTGGCTACTCTTTGTGAGAGCACAGCGCTTCCTCCCTCTCCTGTGAGCCTAAAAGAGGAGCCAGCAGCGTCTCGAGGCCGCTGAGGGTCCGCACTCCTCTCCAGGCTGTCTGCCCACCCTTGACAGGTTGAGCGCTCCCTCCTCAGCTCRTTTGTGAGGCTGGGACAGTTGGTGGTGCCTACAGGAGAACGTGCGAGGCCCACCACTCTCCCACCACTCCTCCTCAAAGGAGTCTTTGTAGATGTGGTGTTTGCTGGGGCCTTCAGCTCATTCTCCACGGGCAGAGACGTCCCAAGGAAAGGGGACAGCAGTCCYCAAAGGAGCAGCTCGAAGCCCTCCAAGCTAGCAGGACTCTGTGGCATTACTCTGTTGGAAAGAGTTCACCGCCCCGCCAGGCTCACCTGCCCTCCTTACCTTGAACACGAAGCCCTCGGGGCAGCTCAGCTGCTCGTACCACAGCGCCTTGTACATGACGAGCATGAGGAGGCAGGCGAGGAAGGCCATGGTGACGAGAATGAGCCCCGTGAGCTGYGGGGACAGAAAGGGAGGGAGCCCTGGAGCACAGTCGGGCCCAAAAAAGGAGGAGATGTGGGGGGAGAATTGATCCAGCTGCAAGCACAGGTAGCAAACTGCTACCCTGCCTGGCTCAAATCACCTTGTACCTCGCAAAGCCAAAAATGGATCTGGCTCAGATCTTTTAGCTCAGATCACTGCATACCTTGCTAGACACATCCAGCTCTCCCTAAGTCTCCTCTGCCAACGTGAGTGGCAGCACATACAAAGGACATGAGTGCCCCAGGAAGTACCAGGAAACACCAAATATTCCTGCTTGCAGTGAAGACCCCTTCCCTATATCAGCTTATTCTCTAGCACTCCAAAGCAACAGCCAGTGCAGGCAGGACTCTGGCTCTTCTCCGCCCTGAAGGAARGCTGTCGCTTCATGAGTTGGCTGCACACCTGTGGTGGAAGTGCTTGCGTGTGCAGAGAGRGATGGGAATTACCTTGACTTTTTCTGCTACCTCATCGTAGAGGTTTACATTCAGCTTTTTAATCCCCGGGATGTATAACTTCCTCTGCTGCTGTTGCTGCAGCTTATATTCTGTCCGGGTCTTGACAATCATCTGAAAAGAGGGAAACTAGTGAGAAACGTCACTGCCAGGGAGGAGAAGGTAGAGTTACCCARTGAGGACCCACAGAGTAACCCCTACACGTGTGCGATGCGCCTGGGTTTACACCCTCTGGGGATGGTCCTGGGGTACAAGTGACAACTTCTCAGCACTGCTTTGGTGTGCGCGGATCCTGGCCCCCACAACCCACATTGTGCTAGCCCTGGTGAAGCACGCTAGCCAGCACAGGGCAGTCTGTGCCCACCTTGTCCGGGAAGGGCTGCTGCAGCTGGCTGGCATCCAGCGGGGTTATCAAGGGAACGTTATCGAAGTCATCATCGCCTCCACGCTGCTCCTTTTCGGGCTTCTCGGAGATGCTGGCCCCTGGCTTCACCATGGCCCTGGTCTGGTGCTGCAAGGAGAGGAGGKATGTGGCCATCAGGCTAAAGAAAAAAAAAAATCAACTTTATAAGTTCCTTCTATACGTGCTTTATAGGTGTCCTCCTCTCATATACTCTGCCTCATTCAGAGGCAAGCGGCTGTACCGGGGGGTCAAAGCAGAGGACAATGCTGATCCCCAGRCATAACAACTTCAACCAAGATGGAAAAGTTTTTGTAGGCTGSGAGTAAGTCTCCCAAGGGGTTCACTCTGCACAAAGCCACAGTCTCTTGGCTGACTCCCCAGGGAGCAGAAGCCATGGGTTCAAAAGCTGCAGCTCGTGTGTTTGCATCCATCGGTAAAATGGAGCCGCCTGCCCAGGCATCAACACTCTTCCCATGGTAAAAGGAGRCAAAATGAGAAATAAATCCATCTAGGACACATGGGCCAGCGGGTTCTTTGCGGGTGTTTTTACCTCCTGGAGGCATCTCAAGCTCCTCTATGAGGACTTAAACTGTGCAGTGTTGAGCAAGATAGACCAGCCTAAGGCCATTAGACACCGTCCAACAGCAAGGAGCCATCATCGCAGCGTGTAAACACGGGCTCAACACATACTGTGTCTTACTTGGGTCTCCCCAAAAGAGGAGGAAGATGCCTCAAGTCTGGATCTCCTCCTCAGCAACTGCCACAAAAACACACACACAAACACAAGGGCAAACAAAAAGCACTGGGAAAAGTAGCCCTGGCTCCAGGCAACTCAGTGTGGGCCCATGCTCATGGTGTGGGACCACGGACAGGGAACACAGAGGGACCTGTGGCAGCCAGGGCATCCCCTGAGGACTCCCCTGAGGCTGGGAACGCGCTGGGACTTTCGGAACAGCGGCTCGGGGAGGAGCGGGCGGCATCTCCTCCTGCAAAGGGTCTAGGCCGCCCTCCCCGTTCCTCTGCGGCGGCTCGGGGATGCTCAGGGACCCGCAGCACCGCTCTAGGCTAGGAGCTCTTCAAACAGGAGAGCGCAGATCGCAGCAGCGCAACCCCATCTCCGGCAGCACCCAGTCACCCCGGCTGCCTCGCCCGCTGCTAAAAGCCGCCTGAGCTGCAGATTTGCGCGGGCCTGGGGGGGGATGTTCGGC